GAATATGGAATTCCTCTGCTTCCTGCTCCCGTCCCAACTTGTTTCACTATCACCGTGCTTTGAGGCCTGGTCTACACTTAAAAATTAGATAGACCTAGCTACATTGCTCATGCCTGGGGAAAAATTTGGGCCCCATGCAACATAGTTTGGTAAACCTAACCCCCAGTGTAGATGCAACTAGGCCGATGGAAGAATTCTTCCTTTGACCTAGCTACCACCACTCACAGAGTTGGATTAACTACAGCAATGGAAAAACCCCTTCCATCAATGTAGGAGGGGTCTACACTACGGCACTACAGTGGCACAATTGCAGCTCTGTAGCTGTGTTGCTGTCACGCAGACATATCCTGAGGAGTGAATTAAGGGAAATTAGCAATTACCTTTGGAGCACAGTATTAAAGAAAACAAACCAGAAAGAAGAAGAACATAAAAATGGCCATACTGGGTCAGACCAAAGCTCCAGCTAGCCCACTATCCTGTCTTCCAACAGTGGCCAATGCCAGGTGCCCCAAAAGGAATGAACAGAACAGGTAATCATCAAGTGATCCATCCCCTGCCACCCATTCCCAGCAGGGCACCATCCCTGCCCATCCTGGCTAATAGCCAGTGACCTATCCTCCATGAATGTTCTTACGTTCAGAAGAGTCACTGGGAAGAGAAATCAAAATGCAAATAGATAATAAAGTGAAAATGGTAGAAATACTCCCACCCTCAGAAGTTCCTGCGGGATCATCCCCTACAGCACAGTTTCTATTATTTTGTTCAGCCTAGATTTAAATGTCTCAGGAGATGGGACTTCTGCCACTTCTCTTTGGAGATATTTCCAGAGCCTAATAGATCTCACTCATCAGCATTCAGCCTAGATCATCCCTTGTCTCAGTTGCATCCCAGTGCTCCTATGTATACCCCTCTGCATCACTCAAAATGATTCCTCGCACTCCTTCACACCCTTCAGATATTTATAAACTGGTAGTGTGTCCATCCCCTTCCCCCTCCATCTTCCAGCCACTGCTTAGCCAAGCTACATTTAGCTCCTTTCATATTTCCTTATACATCAATTTCCTCCAGTGCCCTGATCATTTCTGTTGCTCTTCCCTGGGCACTCTCCCCTTTGTCAGGATCCGACTGGTAATGAATGTGATGCCCAGAAGCAAATACAATATAGCAGATACAGGTGCACTACACTCACATTGCGATGGGATCATTACCCTGTCCCCTTTCCTTGTGAAGTCCAAAATTGGACGTATTACTAACTCACATCCAATTTTCTGTCTGCCATAACACCCAGGTGCCTCTTAGCATCTGCAAGGTGGCCTAGACTTGACATAAATATCATATGCATACTGAAAACATTACAGCTCATGCATTGATATAAATACTAATGATAATTTAACAGCTCTGATAACACTGTGGTGTTCTGGTGGTCCTAGTTTGGGAAAGGATTTTTTTATACCCACAGCAGATAGGTGCTTATTAGCATTAGGAGCAATCTGCATCATTCAGGAGGCACTCAGCACCTGGCAGGATCAGGCCCTTAAGACAGAAACTGTGGGCTAACTGTTCTAACGGTTGCTTCCTCTCATCCACCATCATTATGGTAATGACTGAAGCAGGACAATATGAGTGAATGGAACCTAACATTTCGCAACACACAGGGGTGTGTGGTAGCCTATTCTGATTCTTATAAAAGTAATGATTTACTCAGGACAGGGAATTGGCCTTATATTGTAAACCGTCTATGTATTTAGGCAAGTTTGAAAATGTGGTTTTAATTTCTGCACATACTTTTTGGACAGCACTTTCTCTGTAGCTGCAGCCTTGAAGACGCCTGACTCATTCAAACATGCAATTCACCATCTGCTCTCAAAGACAAACTGCAAACTAAGGAGGGCTGTTCTCAGAGGAATTTTAAGAGAGTTTGTACTCACGAGCAATGCTGCAGTAATAGTCAGGACAGGACAGAAAAGCTGACAGTGGCTTTATCACATCAATAGCCCTCAACTCCCTTCTAGAAGGACCACCTCTTTGGAGTCTCCAGACCCTTTCCATCCTAAAGCTACCAGCAAGGAGGTTCAATTATAATACAGTAGAACCTTAGAGTTACAAACTGACCAGTCAACCACACACCTCATTTGGAACCGGAAGTAGGCAATCAGGCAGCGCAGCAGCAGACACACACACAGCAAATACAATACTATGTTAAATGTAAACTACTAAAAAAATTAAGGGAAAGCAGCATTTTTCTTCTGCATAGTAAAGTTTCAAACCTGTATTAAGTCAATGTTCAGTTGTAAACTTTTGAAAGAACTAGAATGTTTTGTTACGAACATTTCAGAGTTACAACCAACCTCCATTCCAGAGGTGTTCTTAACTCTGAGGTTCTACTGTACACACTTGCTCATTAGAATCTGAACTAAGACTCCCTAACTTATTTCCCATAACCAAGGAACCCTTAGTAATAATCCCAAAAGTAGTTCATCACAGAGGCTGGCCCTTTCAGGGGAATCAGGGGCCAATCTACCTGCGATAGGATCTGCTAAGGAGAATAAGCCAACTCAGATCCGCTTGTGAGTAATTAACTACCTAAATGGCTGGGTGACAGTTAATTACTTAGGGAACACTTGGGCCTAATAAAGGATTATAAGGGCTTGGGCAGATAGCTCTGAACATTTGAAAAGAGGGACTTCTCAGAGAAGCTGCTTTGAGAGCTTACCAGAAAGGGGACTAAGCTCTGAGAGGGCTATGAGTGGTGACAGCCTGGTCCCCAAGAATGGAACTTACTAGACAGCTGCAAGAAGTCAAGGTTGTTGAGGTACTACATGCTGCTCCAAAGAAGAGCTGCAGCAGTTTGAACTCTGCAGGAGCCCTGAGGTGGACCCCTTATCCAGGTGATGGGAGAAGATGGTCCTGGTCTGAGAAAGTCTTAGTGGTGATGGGCCTGGATGGAGATGGACGGACTCAGGTAGGACAGACTAATATTGACCTGACCCCCTCCCAGCTGGGACACGGGGTGGAGGGGAGGGGGAGTGAAGAGTTGCTTACATGTTTGTTTTGTCTCTGGTTAAATAAATTAGACCCACTGTTCATTACATAACAGCATCACTGAATTAACTGAAAGCCCACTAGGGGAAACTGAGGCAGGGATGCTTTTGTTGCTCTCCTCTGGGCCACCAGGGTGTGTATGAGGTGACACCAGAGGGCATGGGGGTGGGGTGAGCACCCATGCTATCACACGTGGGAACTGAAACATACTTATGTATGGTGGAGTCCTTTTTCCAGCTTGCAATGTATCTCAAACAAAATCAGTAAATGGCTTAGATTATTTGATCTCTGCCAAACCTTGTTTGTCAATGTATAGTAAGGTCAGTGGACAATGGCTTAATTCTTAACTTACAATTAGTTAGTCTAAAATATTTAGACACTTGACACCAGATCCTCAAAGTATTTAGGCTCCTTACTTTTGTTGATTTCAGTGGAAATTAGGAGTCTAGCTACCTTTTGAGGATCTTGGCCTTTTTGGACTCTCTAAGGTGGGGTCAGTATGGGAGAGAAAACCAGCTTGGGAAGAAAAAGAGGTTGAGACCCCCACAAGGGTAAAAAAATAACTAAAAAGTCTGAATCCTTGGTCCTTCGTCTCCATTGCCTGGCAGATTATGTAGACCTTTGGCCCAGTGCAAAATTAATGTAAAGCACTAAAAAAATAATTTACTAGCATTGTCATTCACTTTGCACAGATGTAAATGACAGAGGCACAAGAGAGGAGGCAGTGCAAAATAAACCCTTTAAAATCTAAAGCTGTCAACCCACATTATAAAAATCTATCTTAACCCAGAAAACTTTCAAATGATTCTTTGGGTAGTAGACTTTTCTAGTGAAGGTCCCCAAATTTAGACTTGCTTAGAACTTTTCATTTTTTAATTAGTAGAGCAAAACTGGGTGATGAGAGAGAAAAAAAGGTTTTGATTTCCCTCCACACACACCTTTCTCTGATTGCAATCTATTCCCAAACAATTTGCAATCTTCTTGAAAGTATTGTTTATTTGCATCCAATCAGCAAATAATTCCTATATCTTCTGACCGTTTATTAGGAATATTTTAAATCAAGCTGTTGTGACTGGATGCACAGACCAGATGACACATCATCAGTTTCTGTTGACATCTGTTGCATCAGTATCTTTTCCTGCCAGCACATGTGACTGCTAGATTAATTATAGAAAACAAATACAAAAAGGGGGGAATACAGGTGAAGTGCTTCATTTACAAATGTGACTGTTCAGTTTTTATGAATGTTCCAGCTCTAAAGAGAAACTAATTATAAAACTTTAATAGGGAAAATCTTGGAATTTGTAATGTAAAGAGCACGGGACATGGGGCAACAATGAACTAACAAAACCTTTAAAATACTGGCTTTAACTTGCTATAGAAAAGAGACTGCAAGCTTTGACCCACCTACACAGGCAGGTATAGTTGAGGATGGCACCTGGGCTGCATGGTACAGCCGCTTTGGGACATAAAGATCCCCATGGTTTTGGTCTCCCCCTGCTACAATTTCCCTAGCAAAATGAAGTCTGCTGGGATTTGGGGAAGTTTGGACCCTGAGGAACCCTCACAAGATAAAAAGTTGCACTCTGTTAGCAGAGCCTTATAGAAAGCAGCCAGAAAAGAAGGGGTGGGGTAAGAGAGTGTCAGGTTCTGTGAAATCAGCTGTGCATGCAGTGAGAGAGTTATTTCAATAATGTATGTACCTTTGGTTTGTTTCTTTCTGAACTGTGACTAATACTTAAAAATGTTGTGAAAGTACATATTTTGCTGGCTGCCTGAGAATAAAATTTGCTGGTCTCTTTAGGAAAAACAAGAGGTTTGTTTTTGTTTGTTTTGTTTTTCCTTTATCTGTCAGTCTGAGAAGGGCTGAATTGGCTCTCTTCCATCACCCCTAATAGAACTAGTTTTTAAATGTAAATTTCTTATCTCATGGGATTACTGATTTTATTCATCATCCTGTATCTGGTCCTTTTTCCTCTTCTCCCCCATGCTTCCTGCAGTTCTGGTCCATGCTCTTTTCTACTTTGTTCCTCCCCTCTTCTTTGTTTGCATGGGGTGTGTTTTTTCTCTTCACCCCTACCACATTGGCGCTTCCTGTCTTAGGTTCTGGTACTCCCTTGTTTCTGCATCAGAATAGTTCAGTAACTATTCAAGAATCTAACTTACTGCTGCCCATTCCCAAGAGCCTCTGTGCAAAGAAATCCAAAAAGTCCTGCCCTGAAGGATGCTAACAGTCATGAGCTACTTATTCTACAAAACAGGTGTACCTACAGCCACAAACAGGCTTCCACATCACTCAAGTTCCAGCTTCATCTTGCTCCGTTCCCAGGGACCACACTGTCCACAACTCTGTACCTCATTCAGACAGAATGATGTATGGGCAGTACATCGCTATGCCTCTAACACAGCCAATTGCATGGTTGAGTGCTTTGCTGAAGCAGTGTCCATGCCTCTAGGATCTAATCCAGCTCCCATTGCAATCAATAGGAAGAATCCCATGGACTTCAGTGAGAGCCGGAGCAGATGCAAAGTGAGGAGAGAGAGAGAGAGAGTTCCACATTTGTGTGTGCTGAGATGTATTCTCCAGATTGTCATGTGATAGGGAGGCTATTTCTGGCCCTGTTGATCTTCATTGCTATTGGGGGGGGGGGAAAAGGGTGGCAAACGTATTTTCTCAAGTAGATGTCCCTGATTTGCTGAACTTTTGAAGGCCTTACACTTAACTTGATGGCACTTCTGTATGCAATACAATAACTTGGGCTGCACATCCAATCAATTCCAAAATTTCAGGAAATGTTCTAGGCATCAATGGCCCAACTGATCTGAAGGAAAACAAATCCTGGGGGGTGGGGGGGGGTGAGGGAGGGGTAGAGAGAGCCTACCATTGTTTAGCATAGCCAAAGTACTCAAGTACTTCTGCAATTGTCTATCGCTCAAGTAACTGGCTGATGGCACCCATTAATGCTTTCCATCATAACAAAACCCCTGCTCATCCTCCAATATAATTTTAACATGTTGATGCTCTAATGATTTATCTCTCAGGCAAATAGGGGAATGGGGGTGTGCATACCTCTCCTGGTATGGGGAATGAGGGACGCTTGTATGGAGGAAGGTGGGAATGAGAGGCAGACAAAACGCCTGGTGGGGAGATTGGGGACCCTAGAATGGCAAAAGGGGGCACACAGAGCTGCTTGTGTGGGGGGGGTGGAGGGTTAAGGGGCAAGGAGGGCATGGGGGAGGTGGGAATGAGCAAAAAAAATGCTGCTATTCAGGGAAAATGGTGGAACACACAACCTGTGGTTGGGGGGAGATTACCGGGAGATGGAGAGTCTCTGAAATGGAGGGGGATAGGAGGGGTGGTAAACCAGGAGCTTGTTGGGAGTAGGGTGACCAGATGTCCCGATTTTATAGGGACAGTCCCAATTTCTGGATCTCTCTTATATAGGTTCCTATTACCCCCTACCCCCTGTCCTGATTTTTCACACTTGCTGTCTGGTCACCCTAGTTGGGAGAAAATGAGGAATGCATATGCAGTGAGCTCAGCCTACTAAAGGTAGGAAGAGTGACTGCCTAGTAACTTGATGGCTCTATACAATCCTCCTAATGGTGACTGCCTTCTAGAAAATGGGCTTATAATTCATGCTGCTCTTAGGCAGGCATTTGTGAGAGTCCTACTAATCTCCATAGGGCAACAAAAATGTCCATTACCTCGGAGAAGCGTGCATATTGGAAAAGCCAAAATCAGCTGTTAAGGGTGTGCCAAAGGAGACAGACTGACACCCCTTAGTGACTGCTCCCTACCAGGGTCCCTCTCCCCCCCCCCCCCCCATCAGTATATCTGTTTGGAGAGGTCTGGAACTGCTGCCCTGCATTGTCCTGGTGCCTGAGGCATTCAAATTTGGAGGCATCTCAGGAAGTAGCATTGGTAAACTTTGGTCAAAGCCTGGCCTTCTCTCAAGTCAAACCGTGCAAAATAGAAATAACCCATGAACAATTTATTTGACAAGACTGTTCAGTTCTAGTTAATCCAATCCAGGACACCTGGAGCCTCTCTCGACTGAAGCGTTCTGACTCAGCCATGATCTGTACAGAATCAAGTGCGGAGACTGACCAAGGAGAATGAGGAAAGGGACGTCTGAATGACACCCCCCCCCCCCCAAATCTTTTAGCATCTTACCTTGGTTGTGACCGATGGAGAGCTGCAGTCGGGCTGTAGAACAGGGTTGGTTCAGGCGCTTGTTCTCCAGCGGCTGCTTACATTCGGGCTTCCCACGGGGAGCACAGCTACTGCAGGTTGGGACAGAGTGGTTGGTTGTCTAAGCAGCCTTACTGGGTTCGTTATTCTAGGTAAAGCAAGCCGGGCACTTCGGCTGCTTGCCAGCACCGCTTTAGCGAGCAAAGTCAAACCAGCATTTCACCCCCTTGGCGGGGAGCAGCCAGATCCCACCAATACGCATGAATCGAGGCTGACGCCTGGTGCAGCGGAGTTTCCTGGCTTCTATTAAGTTGAATGCTCAACCAAGTAGCTTAGCTCACTGAATTCCCCCTCGGCACCTTCTTTTCAAGAGCGGAGGTCAGTGGGCGACTTCTGCACACTGAAATAAGGGCACGTGGGTGCCGTGGAATCCATTTTAGGTTAGCAGCAACTACTGGTATCTGGGGCTTGATGTTCACTGCGCAGTGCGGAGTAACTCCATTGTGAGCCTCCGGCTGCTGGCCCCAGGCCCACTGTGGTGCCACCAGACTGGCGGGGAAGGTTCATCCAGGCAGTTTGAGTGAGAGCGGAGACAGCGGGCTCAGGGGCAGAGCACAGAAAACAAGGACCTGTGCAGCAGCTCTGCTGGGATACATTAGAAAGCAGCTGGGGTGATTTTTTTGACGAAACACTTACGTCAGAAAATGCCCAGTGGTGGAAACCGCTTATGAAAAAGGGCCGATCTGTTCTGACAGATGTCAGGAAAGACCGAAGATGGCATTTATGGTCAAAACCAGGGAGCGAGCAACCACAGCCCCTCCAATAGCCAAGCGGGATTAGGGCAATTGAACCTGGGTCTCCCGGGGGCGGGGCCCAGTGCAGAAGGAAAACCAACTCCGCCAGCTTTGGATTCTTGTTTGCCCGCCAGTCCGACTATATTAATCCTAGACTGCCGCTACAAACGCGGCCAGCGGGCTTCAAAGACCCCGGCGCACTGCAGCGGGTGTGTTGCCGGTGCTCTGCAAACTGGCCTGGTGCATCCCTGATCTTCACTTCCCCTTATCTGGTTCCTTCCAACAACTAAGCCACCTCTAAAGAGCCATTCCTGGTGAAAGCACACGCACTATAACCTAGTATATGGCAAGCAGCAGCAGTGGCGTGCGGGAACTCCTTTCCTTCAGCTCCCCATGTCTGAACTCTAGCTACTTACTACCTAGACGCTGCACGGACTTGTGCACTCGGAGTACAGACCTGGGAGCCAGGAACCTCCCTGAATTCCTCTCCAGTCTTTGACACCGACAGGCTGTCAACTTGGACCGAGTCATGTTACCCCCCGGCCTCAGTTTCCCCACATACAATATCGGGTGTGGCGGGGATGGATCAGACAGCGGAAGATGGAAAGCACTAGACAAATGCTAGAGTCGGTGCTTTGTTATATCTTCAGGATGGCGGGCGGCTAGTCACGCAAACCATTTTATAAACTCTACAGCTAGATTGGCCCGTTAAAAGATGCGTCTGGCAGTGCGTCACTGTAAACTGAATTTATCCCGGGCATTTCTAAACATTGCAATTGCTTTCACTGTAAGCATTATCCCTAATCCTCGTAAATGACGTTTAGCAATGGCAGGGGGGCTGGGGTCTTCGGCGGCGGGGGTCCTTCCGCTCCGGGTCTTCGGGGCACTTCTGCGGCTGGTCCCGGAGCGAGTGAAGGACCCGCCGCCGAAATGCCACCGAAGACCCGGAGCGGAAGAAGCTCCGGCTCTTTGGCAGCGGGTCCTTCACTCGATCCGGGTATTTTCGGCGGCACTGAAGGACCTGCCGCTGAAGACCCGCCGAAAACTCTCGTGGGGACCCCTGCGGGGCCTGGGGCAAATTGCCCCACTTGCCTTCCCCCTCTGGGCGGCCCTAAGCAATGGAAAGAATGTGGCTCAATCAATATTGTGGCTTAGGGTTGAGACTTCTACCGGCTCCTACATTACCTTGGCATCTCTCCCCTCCCCACCCCACCCAAAAATCTAATAGCAAAACATCGAAACCCTGTTCCGCCTTCAGTTCATGGGTGACTTTCCAGGAATAGTTGAGGCCTCCACCGTTCCAAAACCGACAGCAGCGGATCTGTCTTAAACCACCGCCTATCGGTTATTAGAAAGGGACCTTTTCTCGAGCGTGTGTGTGACCCAGAGAGAGATTAAACTCACTTGCACCCCTTCCACTGAAACTCTTCAGTGTAGAGTAGGTGAGACTGGGAATCATCTACAGAGGATGAATCTATTAACAGAGCTAGTCCTATTCATTCTACCTTTTAACACCCATCCTACCGTATGTCACCGGTTAGCATTTATTTCCGTCATATCCTATGGTATGTTGGCGGAGAAACTGGACAGCTCCTAATTCTGAGCCAGCCTGTGACACACTGGACCTACCTTCTGTGTCGTCGTTGCCTGTGGGATGCTGCACACTGCAGCACACTGGAGACTTCACGTCCGCAGGGACCCGCTATTCAGCGGCAAAGATGGCTGCATTGAATGCACCAGCGCCGTGGATTCGCTCTTCTAGTGGAGCATGTCTTTAAAGGCTGCTCCGGGGTTAGGTTGCTGCGGGGGGCCAGATGCGGACCTCGCCGCGGAACGCGGGGCTGGTGCCATCGAGTGCGCACGTTTGGCCGCTTCTGGGGGCGGTGGGAAGTGACTGCCCGGAGAGGAGAAGATCTAAAACCACCTGAGCGCCGCCTCCAGGAACTCCTCTGCCCTGGAGGGACACTGCCCATGCGAACCCTCCGTGTTTACAGAAAAGATCAGCCGTGTCAGGTCCTGGCCCCGTCAGCCCCTGCAGTCTGTGCGGGGCATCTGAGTGACAGCTGTTCTCCATAAGGTGTTACATGTTTTAATCTCTGTAGGAAAAACCCACCTGTACCCCAAAGAAACCGGGCTAGCTACCCAGGGGGAACCAGGGCGCAAGGGGGGAGCCTTGGCCCTCCCCCTTGGCCGGCTCTTAGAGGAGACCCCCCGCTCCCCGGCACAGGAGCTACTGGGCTGGGGCTCCCGCATGTCCGCTCAAAGGGGCAGCCCTTGCCGGAGTCCCAGCTCTGGGGGGGGGGGCGCTCTTCGAGCCCCCCAGGCCAGGCAGCAGCGCCCTCTGCCAGCCGTGCGCCAAGCCGAGCCCTGCCCCCGGAGCACCCCGCCTCCCACGTCTCCTCTGCCCCGGGACAGGCGCCCTACTGGAGAGGGGGCCTGGCCTGTCCCTCGGCCCCGACCTTAGGGACATTCCGGTTGCGCCTCTTGGGGGGAGGGGCTGTACCCAGGCAATGTCAAAAAGCACCAAGGGGAAAACTGGGGCAAGGGGGGGGGAGAACAAGTTACGCGGATCGCTTTTATTCTATAGAAATGTCAGCCGGTATTTCAGCCACAGAGGCGGTGCCGGGGACCTCGCTAAACGGATGCAGAAAGACTTATGTGTGTGTGTGTGGGTGTTTTTTAATGGACTTAAAAGCGCTGCATTGTTACCACGTGTTCGGGGGCTTTTCCTGGAGCCAGGAGGGCAGGGCTGCTGTTGAACTACGATTCCGTTGGAATGGGGGGGGGGCGGAACTTTATTTATTCAATATTACAGCCCCGCCCCCTACGCTACAGCGGTCTTGCCCCGAGCCGGGCGGACGGCGTGGGCGGGGGGGGGGGGAGAACGGGTGTCCCGCCGAGGAACAATCGCCTCCAGCATTGCTCGGCGCTCCTGCGTTTCCCGGCGGATGTCTCCCCCTTTTAGAGCAGGGGCTCAGTAAAGCTCCGGGCAGCGCAGAGCAGCTAGCCAGGCTCCACCCGACAGCCACTGGGCGCGGAGCTGCGGCTCCGGGGCTGGATTCTGCAGTCCAAAGTCGGACCGACCGCTCCTGGAGTCCAGTGAGAGCTCTGCTCTGCCAGACGGGGGGCTGAAGCATCGGCCCCTTCCCCCTCCTCTCCGGGACCCGAAAGTGCCTTGACTCCGCTCTTATTCCCCTACAGCCCATTGCACGCTCGTTTTCCTGAGTCTTCCCCCGCCTTCAGCTGCACAGCGGCTCCTCCCTCTGCTGCCCCCCGCCCCTCCGAGCTTGCTGGCCCCAGCGATGTTCTGACAGTCCCGTGATAGGGGGGCAGCCAACCGGGCTGCCTTCTCCGCCCCCTTTCGGGCGGTCCTGGCTGTCTTTCTCCGCCTCCCCCCCCCAGGGACCGTCGCGGATTTCTACATCCAAAGCTAAAACTGAACGGCAAGCAAGCCACGTGGGAGGGTTTTGAAAGAAGCAGCTTAAACGCCATTGATTCACTTTGTCAACTAGTTGGGAGCCTGAGACCGTGAGAGCAGTAAAGACCCCCAAGAAGAGCCTCTTGGGAGCTTGAATGTGTATTAGCGTGCACACTGCCGTTCATGTAAAGGGGTTAGCAGGGCCTGGAAAATAGAAGCGAATTTGCTTTAGAATAGCTGTGATCAGTGGCTTTTGTTTTTAAATGAGGAAAATGTTTAAATACATGTTGACTCTTCTCTGGGACTTTTCCGACTGAAGGAACACACCTTTCTTGAAGGTGATGACAAATGGCCATGCAGATCCTGCTTTTCCAGTTTCTGTGTGGAGGCAACCAGAGCATGCGGGTGAAATCCGGGCCCTTTTGAAGCCAGTGGCAAAACTCCCAGTGACTTCAATTAAGGCCAGGATTTCACCCCGACATGCCAGATGTATACAAAGATATTTGCAAGATATCCTAAAACATAATGCAGACAGGCTGCTTACCGCTCATGCTTTCATTGGGAACATGAGGAGGGAGTTATGCTGCAATGTTTGAGTCCATTCTCCAGAAAGAGCATTGCTTTGCTATGACAAGCAAACGTGTCCTTATTGCTCATCACAGGTTGATGAAAAGAGGGACGGGATTCAGATTTGCCAGGTGTGACTTTGACTAGAGTGTGATCTAGACACACAGGGCAAAATCACATCTATGCATAACTCCCCTCCCAATTCCTCCAGGATAACCTTGAACCAGTTGACCTCTATGGATATACACACTAATCTAACTGATTCAGCAGTATCCTTGACCCTCTTCACTGCCCGTGTCTACAAATACACAGTCTAGGCAAAGTCGTATCAAATGGAACCCTAGTCTCCCTTAGACACACTCCTGTGTATTTTTCCCACCTCGAGAGTAAATTTGGCTACTTTCATGTTACTTTCAAAGGGATAATCCTGTCCCACTGAAGTCAATTGGAAAAATTCCATTCACTTCAGTGGGGGCAAGATCTAGCCCAAAGATTACCCCAGTTGTTTAATTAGGAAATCATGTTCCCCCCCCCGCCCCGCCCCATGTCCTGTGTAAGTATATCTACATAGAGTTAACTTTAATATAGATCGTTATGAAACCTATAGTGTGACAGATGTGCTCCCAGAAGAACCCGAGTATAACTTTCCGCGGAGCTCGCGTAGGAAGTCCTGGCCCCATTGAAGTCAATAGGCGTTTCCCCACTGATTCCAATGAGGCCCGGATTTCACCTTATAACTGCTTGTAGAGGCGCATTTGATCTACATTCTGCGCCATTCATAGAATCTAGTGTGTTCAATCTGGAAAAGTACTGAGGTCTCCTTCATCCCTCCCCCCACCCAGGTAATGAAGGCACCCATAATACAGGCGTGCGACCTCTCCTTTTGTCAAAACTGTGTAATCATCCTTGGGCACCGCAACCCACAGCTCTTTGAGATTCATATGAATGCCCCCTCCCTAGAGGGCTTTACATCCTTTGGTGACTCTTGCACCGACGGGGAGTTCACACTACGGCACATTCATAGCAAGACAAATGCTTGTGCTGACTTTTGTATCCTCCGAGGGACGGTTGGGACAATGTTACTTCAGGGCAGTGGCGTTTCAGGATTGCACCCGAAATTCCCTTGCACCTGCACACTTAATAGCTGTTTTTGCAGCATGGGAGGAAACGAGAGCGTAGTCCGATCCTACGAGGTGCTGAGCGCCTTCAACTCCGTTAACTTTAATAGGAGTTGCGGGCGCTCATCACCTTGCAAGATTGGGGCCTGGGTGGCCTGATTCTGAATAGTGCTCTCATATCCCATACCGAGGAACGGGAATGGTAGCGGACGAGCGCTTTGCGAGATCAGCCCCTTCCAGGAGAGCCTCTTTTTTAAGTAACAAACACAGGACTGGAGGTTTTCTCTTTAACCTGCCGCTGGACAGCGGGGAAGGAAGGACCTGAATGCGTTAAGTAGCGCTCGAGTATCCAAAATGCTTCCAGGATTTTCTTGGTGTGAGAACTTGGAGCAAAGGATGACCAGGAAAGCCTTGCTGGAGTTAGAATTGAGGAAGTTGCACGCGCGTTGCCTTGTCTGGTGGAGTTCCGTAGCATGTCGACTGCAGAATAAGATCTCTAGTTGCTAATGGGGATTTTTCTAATTTTGTTGTGTGTGGTTTTTTGTTTGTTTGTTTTTTTCTTTTGAGTTGTCGGAAAACTGAAATAAAGTTCTTAGAAATTGATCCAAAACAGTGTAATGCCACCTATTCCTAACCTAGAATTCAAATACAGTCTCAGTTGCCGTTATGGAGAAGTATTTTCACTTTGGTTATTTGCATGGGTAGCATAATGAACTGCATTTAAAAAAAAACAGAAGCAAGAAAACTCTTAGTTTGGCATCACTTAATTACTGTGAGAATGTAATAGATATAGGTATAAAGCATTACATGTGTATATGTTATAGATCGTCCTTATCTTTAATATTTAAGAATTATACATAACGTTTTAAATCCACAGAGTAGCACTGATACCAAGTCTGGTAGAATTTTCTTGCTTCTCTTAAGTGTTTATCCACGCAAATTGCCAGACGAACTCAATTATTCATATTAGTGATTTTTTTTTAAATTCTACTATTAAAATACACCTTTTGTTCAATTTGACATTTTATTAGCTTTCCGACAACCTATCTCTAATATAATCTCAACTAGTATATATTGAATTGTGTATTAGACTGTTTAACAACACTGAGAGAAAAGGTGGGTGAGGGAATACCTTGTATTGGACCAACTTCTGTGTAAACTCCAAAGCTTGTCTCTTGACCATCAGAAGGTCCAGTACAAGATATTCCCTCGTCTCTCTAAGAATCCTGCGACCAGCCTAGGACACTAATGCAAACACAAAGTAATCGTCACTTTAGATTATCTGATAACCCACTTTAATATTTTGCACGTAAACAATAACAGCTACTTAGTCAGCTTAAGCAATACTGGATGGGAAGCAGAAGCAATACACCATCACATTTATAAACTGTTCTTTCATTAATTTCCTTTTGGGGGGAAGCTGGTGTGCAGATATCAGTAATAAATATTCACACGCTCTTCTGCTGTCGTATTGGATGACCCTGTTGCTTGCGTCCATTGCTTATTTGCGAATTTTAAAAACAAAACTCCATAATAATGGTCCCAATCCTGGTTCCATTGAAATTAATGGCCAAGCACTATTGATTTCATAATAGGAATATTTTCTAGAGATACACGTTCACATTGCTAGTATAAAATTCGTAAATTTTTAAAGGTTTCTGAATCTGTGTGTTTTCAGAGTTTCCCTACTAGTGGGAATTAGAATGGGATAATTTGGGTGTAGACCTCGAAAGTAAAATTAGACGGGTAAGTTACTCACATTCCTCATAGTGTGAGGGATCTAATTAAAATCTACATAAAATAACAGAATGCAAAACTGCCTATTCTAGTACTGTTATGATTAAAAGCATTACTCTGTGATTTTAGCATTGTTCTATCACTTAGATCAGTACAGAAACCAATACATCAACTTGCGTATTTTGAATCATGTTATGAGCGGGGTCTAGTATCATTCACAGAAATAACACTAGTGTAATCTAAGAATTTAATATGCGGAATACAACATTTCCCCCCACTGTGGTGATGTTATACAACATACGCGCCTACTGCTTCATCTGTCCAGGGAGATTCTCTTGGTGGATAATAAGGAATGTAAAGGTTCTTTAGGCCATATTGTGGTGGTTTTATAATTTGGGGGTTTTTTTAATCTAAACATCAGAATCCTCCCAGTTCAGTCCCTTTTTTTTAAATAATTGTACACAAACACCTCTCTAATGTTCATGTACATATGCCTCCCTTCGATCTAATGGGAAATAGTAGCTCTCCAGAGGTAAGCTATTAGCGCCATAAGAAGTTAATATTCTTCAAATCATTTGGTTCGCCTAGAGGTCCTGATCCAATGTATGTATATTGGTATCCATGGAAAGATTCCCATTAATGGCAGTAGGTGTGGGATTAAGGACCCATAACCCCGCTACCAATGCTGAGCAAATGGACCAGCAAGGGTTTTCTGACTGTAACAGAGTAGAGCTAAGGAAAGGTTGCCATCCAATAAACAATATCAGAGTAAAATGTAAGTTCCACTCCACTACTGAATGGCCTTTAAATAAACATTGAAAGCATTCAACAGCTTGCAGGATAGGTTCCTTAAACAGTACATACTACATAAAAACTTCCGAGGAAGCTATTTATTATGATTGTGCTATGCATGTGTTTATGTCTTATATAATGCATTATATAATCCGGTTTCAGAGTAGCAGCCGTGTTAGTCTGTATCCGCAAAAAAGAAGAACAGGAGGACTTGTGGCACTTGTTAGTCTCTAAGGTGCCACAAGTCCTCCTGTTCTTCTTTTTATATAATCCGGGAGAGTCAAGGGCTTCTACCTGTAATGCAGGTTATTTAACATCTTTAGAGGAATCGCATACATGTCACAGTAAAGGAAGGGCTTAATTAAAAACCCATTGGCTGGGGTGGGGGGAGACGCTCATTTACTTCCACCACTTTGAGTCACGCCCTAATGGCTACACTTGCAACTGATGCTTTTTGTGTGACGTTTTAAAGAAATATATTGTATCTGTGCTGGGAAATGATGTTGCCTTCTTGAAGGGTTTAATAGGAATGGAATCAGGCTGTTTACACAACTATGGGATTCTTTCCATTGATGTTCACAGGGAATGAGATCAGGTTCATGGTCCTGCCTGCTTTCTGGAAAGGTACCCCATACCTTTCGGTTATAAAGTGGTTAAATCCCAGACAACACACTCACTGGAGTGCTACCAGCTGGGGGTTGCAGGTAGGCAGGACGCCTCCTACATACAGTGCTACCTTACCAACCCCTTCAGAAGATTTCACTATGTCACTGGAAGAATGCTTAAGAATCGTCTGTTTTCTTTATGAACTTTGTTTTAATTTGTTTGAACAAGAGTTCTTCCTTCTAAAATTTTTGAAGTGATGTTTGTCTGAAGGGCTTTTCGGTATATTTTTTTAAAGGGTTGTAACACATAAACGAAAACCTGGCCCTTGCCCGCCACTGCAGCTATTTAGCAGTTCAATATAAACGGAATCTGACCGTATCCAAGCGGAGTATAAATCTGTTCGTGCAGAAGTGGGTTATCTTTCTCTCCACACTCTCTACTTTGACTGGAACCAAGCAGAGCAGCTGTTTTCTACCACAGCCCGTGAACCTTCCATCCCAGCCAGCGCAGTCCCTGCTCGCCCCGCAAGAGACCAACACGGACGCAGCTGCCTGGCGGATGGGTCACCGGTTGCCGTAGAAAAACCTGGGGTGAAATCCTGGCTCCACTGAAATTAACAGCAAATTTTCTATTGACTTCAGTGGTGCAAGCATTTCATTTGGTCCTTGTGGCTGAGCTGGGCAGCGCTGTTAGCCCGCCCGTGCCCTATGCCTGGGGCGGAGCGGCATTCCTTGCAGGCTGGGCTCGGAGGTAGCTGACCACTTGCTGATGCCCGCTTTCTACAGCTAGGTCAATGGGGAGGCGGCCCGATTTGTCCCGCAGATCCAACCGAGCCCCGCCTCGGTGCAACGCCACAAGGGTGTCCAGGAAACCTTCTCGCGCCGCATCGTGCACTGGGAGGGAGCCGGTGCGCGGGTCCGGGCGGTTGGGATCCGCTCCTCTCTGCAGCAGCAGCTCCGCCACCTGGGTGTTTCCCATCATCATGACCTGGGGGGAGAAGCCGTCAGTGAGCCTTGATCGATTTTAGGGTTCAGTCTTGCTCTTTCCAAGAATCTCGTTTGGTCTAATGGGGATTTTATCTGAGCTAAGGTCAGAATCTGAGCCGCATTACGCTCTCTAGGAGTTGCTCTGGATTTACACCGGCGTAATGGAAATCAGAATCTGGTCGCTTGACTTTGGAATTACACCTATGTTCCAAGGAGGTGAATCTTCAGGGTGATATTCGGGCCCCCTCGATGTCCATGACAGAACCGCCAGTAGCTTCACCAGGGCAGGCTTTCTAGGGGTTTATATATTTAGCTACTTGTAAACGGTGCCTAGTTCTTGAACTGCACAAATACATATTTCAAATCAGTATGTATGATAGTATTTTTCTGTAAATACTTCATATTAAACATTTTAAACGGTAAAAATTAAAAAGCATTTACCCAGTGCAACTCAAGAGCATATGTACCAAATACACATCCGTAAGACCTCTCGCTCGGTAGCGATGTTTTTTTGACTGCACCCATTTTTATATTTGATAAACAATAAAACTCGCCATCACATTTATCAAGTTAATTTATGCGGACATGACCTTCATTTACATGTGATTGAGAGAGATGAACAGTTCTTTGAAAAACTTCCTCGGTGAAGTGAACTAGGAGAATGTACTAGAAAACTAATTCATAATAAAATTAACTGCGTAGAAGAAAAGTCTTTCATTTGACAGATTTCCATTGCAAATTAATGCGCAAGGAAAGGGCGACAGAACTGGAGGGGTGGTTTTGTCTTGTTTTGGATTTCCTTTTATGATTTAAAATAAACTTTTGATCTGGGTTTTATAGACCTTGATTAATATTGCAGCGTACTTAAATATGAAGTGTTTAAAATATGTTCAAGTGTATTCCGCTTCACATGCACAATCAAACAAGATATAGAGTTACTTTAATATACATTAAATTAGTAGTAAAATACATTTGAAGTTTCACTATATTAAATGTGTCAAAATTTCAATTTTTTTAACCAATAATCTCTGTGGGCAAGATAAATAGAAAGTGGGTTAAAGGATGTCCTTTTAAAAGAAGAAAAAAAAAGAATTAAAAACTCATCATAGAAATCTGTGTGCACCATTTCTATCAAATGTAATTGAGCACAGTCAGAACCTATGCAAGTTGGGCTGAGAGTCAGCCATTTTAAGGGTAGCAAAAAAGGGGAAGGGTTTTTAGTGTGTTTTTTCTAAAGTTATCCACATATAGATGAGTTTCTATGTATGTGGATATAAATTAAAACACACAAAAAGCAATAACAACACATCCATCTATGTGGATAACTTTGTGGGGGTTTTTTAAGTTATCTACATATGTGGAAATGAACTTCAGCCACAAAACCCTTCCTTTTCTCCTCTGCCATGTTTACTCCTTGGAAGTATAATTCTTTCTCTATAAACAGTCAAACAAAATGGCAGTCATTCAGAGTCCAGTTATGCTTGATTTAAATCTAATATGATCTGGCATTTTATATGATCCAGGTATTGTTTGAAATAGTAATTGAAACAAACTACCATTTCCTACATATAACTTTAAATGATGTTTAATGTTCAGAAATGAATGAAGTTGATGCTAAAACATCTAAAATAGTGCTATTTTTAATGTAAACCTTTTATCAAAACACTCCTGCAGTTTTTTCTCCCTCTGGAACTTGTTAAGGGGTGAAGAATCGAAAAGGGGCGCGTATAATTGTGGGCTATGAACGATAAAGCAAATTGGACCGTGTTATAGAAATCATCTTAGAAATAGTAATTTATCAGTATTCCTACATACAGAGCTATCCCTTTGCTTGATGGTTCATGTCCCCCATAATTACACGCGCCCCGTTTCGATTCGTGTTGTGGAAAATATTTACTTTTTAACCCCTAAGAGCTACATAATACCGATGAATAATAATTTTAAACGAGCAGCAATGAATTTTTAAACATTTAGCAATCCAGAAGCAGAATTCGTTTTTCTCTTAAGTGACTCCCATGCGCTTCCCTTAATGGCCGACTCAATAGGTGAACAGAAACTAGAGATTTTTACAATCCCCATTTTTACTTATTTGAAGCAGGCTCTCTTCCCCTCCCCGTGAGATCTCCCTTCGAGCCAGCAGCGATGGAAAGCTGATTTAAAATGCAAAGTCCCTATGGCTCGCGCTCCCCAGGGCCCGTGTTCCCTTCCCGCTGGGCTCCGTGGCCCTGTACCTGAAGGGGGGTCCTGCCGAAGGAATTAACAGTGTCGGGGTTCATCCCGGCTTCCAGCAGCAGCCGCACCCCCTGCACGTCCCCCTGAGCCGCGGCGTTAGCCAGAAGGTCCCTCCCGCCGTCTGCAGCTACAGCCCCCGCCTGCATGCCTCCGGGCGCCAGCTAGCCCCGAGCTCCCCCACTCCACCGCATTAAATAGCGGGGCTGCGGGCCCAACCCAGACTGATATATTTGCACCTCCTTCCTTTTCCTTACAGCCTCGCCCCTCCCCCATCCTTCATGGGCACGTGCGTGCAGGGCGCCTCCCCCCGCCAGCCAGGGGTGACACTGCAGCCCCCACCCCCGGGAACGACCCCAGGAATAACCTGGCTGCCTGTGGTCTCCCTGCGCTACTGCTGCACGCGCGCTCCCCACGCAGCGAGACCGCCGGAAAGCCCTGCCAGTCTGCAGGGAGGCGGCTGCAGCGGCCGGGATTGGAAAACCACCCCTGCCCATCACAGGCGCCCTGCCGAGAGATGTCCCCTCCCCCGCTGGAGCTTTCCTCCACCCTTATGCTTCGCCCCTTGCACACGCGCTCGCCTCTCCTCCTAGCCGCGGTGTGTCCCTCGGCCTCGCTCAGTCACCCTCCCCCCCCCCACCACACACACGCCACCCCCTCCACACTGAGCCTCCAGTGCTCATCCTTCTTCCTGCTCAGGGTGATCTACAACGAGGGGCGCCCGGGGGCTCGGCTAAGCCAGCTAAGCGCCGTCTCCTCTACCTTGACCGTTACTTTTCCGCTTGACAGCGAATCCGGACCCAAGGCGGTCCCAGACGGTCAAAATCTCTCTCCTGATCTCGCCAGAGCGACCCACGCGCGCTCCCAGGAGAAAACTTCTTGCGATCAGGGAGGTGGACCAAAAAGAAGTGGGTGGGGTGGTAGGTGAGGGGCAGCGCCCTGCTCCCCGGAGACTCCCTCCTCCCCCACCGCTCTGGTGGGTAAGCCAGGTTTTATGGAGGGCTAGGAGGGCGCAAGCTAAAATAACTTGGCTGCTGTCCTCCATCCATCCCACTCAGTCAACCACCCAGTCTCTCTCGCTCATGCGGTTACTTTACCCCTCATCCGCATCTCACACTTCCCAGGCACATGTCCATCTCCTTCAATCCCCCGCGCCCTTTGCCTGCAACCCCTTCTTGATCCCCTTCACCCGCTGTCTGCGGCTAAAACTACCACCTGGGCCATCCCCTGGGTCTTTAACCATTTCACCCTCTGGAGGCTCCCATGTGCACACTCGGTCTCACCGGTTATAGTAGATCAACGAAGAGAGAACGTCCCCAAATTTCGCTGGCAGCTGTGGTTCCACGATACTGTCATGTGACTGTTTTGTATGCTAACCAGTGATGTTGTATGCATGGCACTATGTGAGTGGGTATTTCTAGTAAAGGTGCTCGTGTTCCCAGGAAAATCCTGGATTCTTCACCTGCCGCGACCGGTACCATAGATAGCGCAAAATAGACACAGCACCTGCGCGGGAAAGTGCTGTCAAAGCACTTCTCCTTACAGTGCCATATTTTCGGATCATGTCCATTGTTTAGAGAAATACTCACAAAGTGGAGGCAGGAACGCTCATTTTATTAACTTTACAGCAGAAGTTTCCATGAACAGAGACATCGGTAGAAGAAGTCTACGCGGTTTTATTTCAGATAACCCAGCATGATTGCGCAATCCGAGCCCGGTAACGGTCAAATATAGAAGCAGATAATAAACAGCTAGATTTACCTCACTATATATTTCCATTTCACCCCAGTGAAATGAACACAGCAGCGTATCTGTTCACGCCACTTAGCGGACAAAGAACAATGGCAGCAAGTAATCCCCATGAATAACATCCCAGCAAGTAATCGCCATGAAAGCAAAGATGAATAGTAGTTTCTGAAGCTAGTAAGATTTTTCCTGTTTTCACTAGAGGTGAAATCCACCTCCGCTGTACGTGCCAAATTCTGCCCTGTAGAGCTCTGTAAACTCATTACATTCAGTTACAACTCTGTAACACAGCCAAGATTCCCATTAACATCACCGTTCCAGCCCAGAAAATCTAACGGTCCGGACTGCGGTTCAGATGAGCATACAACGCAACAGAAAGCAGTTTAATAGCATCACTTCCTGGGCTGTAGTTTTATATTCATATTGTTCTGTTTGGTAAAAAGGTCATGCTGTAAAACCAGTACGTAGTCAAGCTGAGATCACGTGAATTAGATGATCAGACAAACGTGGTGTGTGGCCAGTGAGGGGGACTGGGGAGGAGGAAGAAATGCCCCAGGAAATGAAGGCAGATTTCACTGCAGAGCACAAGGGGTGTTGGAATGTTGATACTCTATCCTGGGATCCATTTGAACAAACGTCATGGAGGTGGAAAGCATTGCAGCTCATCACTAATACCGAGAGCCATCCAGAGACATAATATCAAAATGCTTTTATTTTGTAGCCGCAGACCACAGCCCTGGCTACAGAGCTGTATGGGCACCACCCCCACATACTTAATCCTTTGCTTCTTACACCAGCGATCCCATTTTGCTCAACACGGAGCACGAGAACGCGGACGGAAGAACCACTGAATGAGGAAAGAGATTCTGACCACCTTGCCAGCATTTTATAATGTAAGGTTGTCCTCGAGGGGAACCCAATTGGCTCCGCCCGTGGACAGGTTAGGGTCTTGTGCTCTCTTCCACTTCCGCACGAGCAAGTAGCCATCCTAGAGCTGGGCCTAGCATAGAAGAGAGAGAAATATCCTCTCCCTCAACCCTGCAGAAGCCTCTCCCTGGTGGGCTGCAGAGAGAATCCGCATGTTGGGTTAATCTCTGTGTCCTCCCTTCACATACCCATGGAGGAAACCAGCAGAAGGTTAGACGCCAGAGTGCGTGTTAGCCTCCCCTCGGGGTAGACTGCCCCTTTAGGAGGTTAGGGGTAATGACAGAGCACTAGGCAGACTGCTTTACAACAGAGGTGGGGGTAGAGGGCCCCGTGTGAACAGGCCCGGACTCAAGGAAATCCCCTGAGATGGCGGGTTCTGCACCGTCCACGAGAGACGACCCATGCTCCCACTTGGAAAAGAAGGCATTCTTAAGAAAGGGCTGTTTTCTATTTGCTGAGGGCCAATCTTGCGATGTTAGCGTGTCTGGACTGATCACTGCGCCTACATGGAGCTTCAGACGCCAGTCCGTGAAATCCTGGACCCCCACGTCCTCAGACAATGGGAGTTTTGCCACGGACTTCAACTGAGGCCAGGATTTCATTCATTGACTCCAACGGGGCTCCCCATGAGCGCAGGGGTCGGCCTGTGCACAAGGCATTGCAGGATCGGGGCCTGGGCTTTGTATGTGAGTGGGAAATAGTTCCAGTGTCAGGGACGACGAAGTACTTAGTCACTATCGTGTTTTTGCTGATACTGACTAATACGGCTACCCCTCTGAAACCTCATGGTTTCCTGTGTCCCTTCACACATTCTGAAATGCCTCCCTTCTGGTAAGCTACCCGCTCCTTGTAACCCGCACGTTAGAAGCCTACAGCTGAAGCCGCCTTGTAAGACACGGAAGCATTCCGTTTTGATTTGACAATCTTGCGGCCCACACTGTAGCTTTTTAAACATTACAGAACAAATTCTATTGTTTACCCCTGCCCCGCCGCGCAACCCCAGCAAACCTCCTTTCTGAGGGTTTTAATTTCATCCATGGCAAATCCCAGTGTCACATTTAAGATCACTCGACGGGACAGATGGGAGTTGGTGGCTCAGTCAGATAAAAGAAATGCATCCTTATTAACTATTAGTTATTCTCATGCCGCCTCCCTTCACCTCCAGGCTGTAACCAAGTCTTGTGATTTCTTCCACAGGAGAAAGAGAGAGAGAGAGAGAGAGAGAGAGAGAGAGTAGTAA